CCTGCCTTAGTGCTTTGTAAAGGTTGTTCTCTATCACCTTTTGGTTGGTCAAATAAATAGCTGACCAGCCAATAGCTGGGAAAAAAGGGAAAGAAGGGACTTTGGAGTCCATTAGATGGTATCAGGTGGGGAACAGAGAAGAAAGGGAGTCTCCATTGGGACATGGAGGAAGAAGCTGGAGCCAGGATGAAACTAAGATGGCAGGTAATGGGTCACGTGATGGCTGTAGGCCTGACCAGTATTATCAGGTTAGAAGAGTTGAGTATCTGCCCAGCTATAGTGCCCTAAGCTTATAATAAATATAATAGGTCTCTGTGTCATAATTCAGAACAAGGTGGACTTAGAAAAAAACATCTGATTACAAATATGTAATTTGTTTTGATTTTAATTTTACAGGGCATTACAGTCAAGAGATTACCTTGAGTCTCAGAAGAGACTTTGAGCTTTAAAACTATGTTGAGACTGTAAAAAAATAAAATTATGGGACTCTTTGAAGTTGGATTAAACACATTTTGCAAGCTGGGTGTGGTGGCGGATGCTTTTAATCCCACCACTCAGGAAGGCAGTGGCAGGTGGATCACTGTGAGTTCCAGGCAAGCCTGGTCTACAAACCAGTCCAGCACAGCCAAGGCTACACAGAGAAACACTGTCTCGAAAAACAAAACATTTTGCATCATGATATCATGATGTGGCTCCAAGCCTAGGGGGAGCAGGGAGTGGAATGTGATGGTTTCAGTGAGAATGGCCCCTATACTCATATATTTGAATGTTTCAGTTGGTGGACTGCTTGGGAAGGACAATGAGGTGTGGCTTCAGAGGAGGTTTTCTGAGGGTGGACTTGGAGGTTTCAAAGGCCAATGCCAGGCCCAGTCTGCTCTCTGCCTCCTGCTTCCAGTTCAGCTGTAAGCTCTCAGCTCTTCCTTCACTGCCATGCTTGCCTGATGCCATGCTCTCCACCATGTTGTCCATGAACTCACCCACTGAAACTATAAGCAAGACCACAAGTAAATGCTTTCTATTATAAGTTGCCTTAGTCATGGTGCTTTCTGTTTGTTCATTTTGTTTTGTTTTGAGACAGGTTTTCTCTGTGTAGCCCTGGCTGTCCTGGAACTCACTCTGTAGACCAGGCTGACCTCAGAAATCGGCCTGATCTGCTTTTTTGCCAAGATGGCACCGAAAATCAAGAAGGAAGCTCCTGCCCCTCTCAAAGCCAAAATCAAACTGAAGACCTTGAAGGCTATGAAGGCAGTGTTGAAAGTCCACAGCCACAAAAAGAAGATCCGCATGCCACCCACCTTCCAGCTGCCCAAGACCCTGCAGCTCTGGAGGCAGCCCAAACACCCTTGAAAGCATGTACCCAGGAGAAACAAGCTTGACCACTATGCCATCATCAAATTTCCCCTGACCACTGAGTCAGCTATAAAGAAAATAGAGGACAACAGCCTTTGGAAGAGCAGTCAGTGCTCTTAACCTCTGAGCCATCGCTCCAGCTCTAAGTTGCCTTTCTTAGGGTATTTTTTATTACAGCAACTACAACAAAAATAACAAAGACACCTGCTTAACTAGCATTTGTCAAATATTTTCTTCCAGTAATGATTAAAAAAAACCCAACTAATTAAAAATTCAATAACAAAAATGGCTGTATAGGACTAGAAATTAAACTTTAAGTATCTTATACTTTTAAACACAAGCTTTATGTAAATACACCTAATGTAAAATATTCAGTCAAGAACAGAGTAAGAACACATTATTTATTCTCATGCCCTTACTCCAAAGTAATCAGTCAGTCTGTAAGTCCTTTCTTATCTTTTCTTTTTTTTTTCTTTCTGTTTTTTTTTGAGACAGGGTTTCTTTGTGTAGTCTTGGCTGCCCTTTAACTCATTCTTTAGATCAGGCTGGCCTCAAACTCATAGAAATCCGCCTGCCTCTGCCTCTTGAGTGCTGGGATTAAAGGTGTGTGCCTCTATACCCAGCTCCTGTGTCTGACTTTTTATTTGAGTGCACAAATCTAAACCCAGCATGTCATGCTGGCAAAGCCACCTCTCCAGCCACTGTGTATTCATTTTTTATAAGTTGCTTAATGGTCCACAGCACACTCCTGTCAAATTATCAACCTACCATGAACATGTGGGTTCATTTTCAGACACTCTCACTGGGACTCATTGGTTTATCATTTTGCTAGAACACATTCAATTAATTATTATAGCTTTATAGTCTCTTTTGGAATTAAGAAGGGTATGTCCTCCAACTTGGTTCTTTTTTAAGATCATTGTGGTTATTCTAGTTCTCTGGCATTTGTGTATGATTTTTAAGGTTTCTTCACCGAATGCTTCAATAAAATAAGTGAGCATTTTGATATTATCTTACCAATTTTTTACCCACATTTTATACGATTTCTATAACTTTGAGGTCAACTAGGGTTATACAGTGAGTTCCTGGCTAGCCTGAGCTATAGCCTGAAAGACCTTATCTTCAGGGAGAGTGAAGCAGGGAGCGGAACAGAACAGTGCAGCAGGGAAAGGCAGTAATGTCTAAACAACTGTGAAAGAAACAAGGCTGCCAGCTGTTCGACAGCTAAAGAGGTAGCTAAACAGCGCAAGAGTGGTCAAGGAAGGGAGGACAGCAAAGGGGAGAGAGAGCAGAAAGCTGAGACTGAAAGTGTATGAACAGCTGTGAGGAGCCACAGAATAGGAACCGCAAGCCCTGAGCGTGGAAGAGTGCAGTGTGGGCATGTGCTCAGGACCAAGGATCTCAGTTACAGAGCCAAGAGCTGTCACAATACCCACATATGCCTGTCACCCCAGAATTGGGTACACGTACAGGTGGGTCCTGAGAGTGTGCTGGCTAGCCAGCGTGGCCAAAGTGACAAGCTTCAGGTTCACCGAGAGACCCTGTCTCGATGGAATAAAGCAGAAAGAGATAGAGCAAGACATCTGACATCCTCCTCTGACCTCCGCACTTACGCACACGTGTGCACAGCACTCATACATGTGGACATACACACACAATCCTTTAGAATAGGTAGTGCTGTTTTCAGTTTTGGTAACAACAGAAAAAGGCTTTGGTGATATGAAATACTTCATCAAATCATGTACAGAGTTTAAGTAAAGGAGTCCAGATCCAGTTAGGTTTTTCCATGGATGACACTATCTTAGTGATTTAAAATGATTTTTTTTCTTTTATTTGTCAATTGACATTTCTAGAGTACTAGGCAAAATATAACCTAAAAAGGAATTCTATACACTGAGAGAGAAACTTTACAGGACATAATGTGTGCTGTAGGCACACAGGAAGGCACTCATCTCACGCTGAGATGTCCACAGATGGTTTGGATGTTCTGGAAATGTCTACAGTAAGCTCGTTCCTTTTTCCTGGAGACAGGGTCTCTATAGGTAGCCTAGCCTGGCCTTGAACTTGTGATCTTTACCTCAGCCTTCGGAGTGCTCAGATTATTTTATCTAGCTGTGCTTACTTTTAAAAGATGGTTAAGAGAGTCAGGTCAGAGGGTTGTTTTAAGAAAAGGCAAAAACATGGGCAAAGGCGAGATGGAGTTTAGAGTGTTGGGGGAGGTGATAAAAGACACTGAGCAGGGTCAGAAAATGTAGGGCCTTCAATATTGCACTAATGATTTGGATTCTGTCTTTGCGGAAATATAATGACTGGCTTACATCTTGGTGCACTGGTAATGTCATTCCCTGGTAGACCAGTGTTATCATTCGATGGTATGCAACACAAAGGAGTAGGAATTAAACAGAATATTGTCTAGTGACCTAATTCCAAACTTGAACACAGGGTTCTATTATCTGGGCACCTTGTTCCTTTCCTTGGCCCCTCCTCCTCACACTTATTAATATATATATATATATATATTTTTTTTTTTTCCAGTGTTTTGAGAAAGCATTTCTGTGTAGTTCTGGCTGTCCTGTAACTCGCACTATAGACCAGGCTGGCCTCGAACTCAGAGAGCCTCTGCTTCCTGAGGGCGGGGAGGTGGGGCGGGGCGGGGAATTAAAGGCGTGCGTCATCGTCTGGCCGCCCGGCTACTTGCCCATATCTTCATTTGGGTTTTAACTAATTAATTTAGAAGCTCATCCCTTCCTGGTCTAGAACTCAGATTATTTTTCTCGTAAAGGCTCACTTCCCCAAGGTTGCCGCTTTTGATGCAGGTTGACTGGGGGAAATGCAATCACAAGAACAAGTTTTCAAAACAACAACAAAAAAGTGGGTCTTTTGCTCCCAATTAATTCCTAGAACTAATCTGTGCTTCCCACTGCGAAAGGAATAAGGCATTTGAGGCTGGAACCAGAACAGTCTAAGAATTCTGACGGGCTGTATGCCTAAACTCATTTCTCCAGCCGAGAACTAAATGGACGTGCTCTTCCCAAACACCCGGGTTCAATGCTGACCACAAAAATAAAGAGCGTTATAAAAAGTTGTGTGACCGGGTCGGAGAGAGCTGGAGAATTTTACTACGTGCCGAGGGCGATTCACACACAGTCCTAAACTTTCACCATAGCTCCCGCACGAAGGCGATTCCACTTTAGACCTTTCCTTCCGTGCTAGCTGGATGTCGCTCCTAAACTTCTAGCAACAGAAAACAACAACAACAAAGCAAACTAAGAAGGCCCAGCGGGCGCTTGAATGGGCGGGAAAGGCACAGCTGCTCCGAGGCACCCCAGCCCATTGGCTCACCCTGCCGCAGTTCCCATCCTCCGCCTGCGGTGCCGACAATGTTTTCATTGGCTTTCCTCCTCTCTCATTGGTCCGCCCCTCTGCTCGTCAGAACTCCGCGAACAATGAGAGGCGGAGAGCGCGTCAAAGTTGGGGTTGGAGGCCCCGCCTCCACGTGCCGTGTGCAAAAACAAACAGCCGTTAGGGAGGCGGCACCGGGGGGGCGGGGTTAAGGCTAGAAGGAGGCGTACGATTGGCCCGCCGCCGAGGTTCAAACGAAGAACGAGAGCGGCTATTGGTGGCGCCGGCGCGAGGCGGGCCCGGGGCATTGTCCGGCTCCGGCAGCGGCGGTCCGGCTGCGAGAGCGGCGGCGGCGGCGCGGGGCGACAGCGGGCGTCGCGCGGCCGGGACCATGGTGAGTGGCGGGGTCGCGCGGGGCGTGGGCGCGCGGAAGCCCCGGACGGCGTCTCCGCCTGTGGAGCCGGGAGCGGGCGGCGTCGCACGGGCGAGCAGGAGCGCGGGCTGTTCCGGACTCCGCCGCGGGAGGCGGACAGAGGGGCGGGCTCTGCGCCCGGCGGAGGAGGTCGGGCTGGCGCCGCGCGACTCCGAGTCTTCGGCTCTGGGTTACGTAATGCCCCGCTGAGGCTCCGCTCTGAGGCTCGGCTCTGATCCTCCGCTCTGATCCTCCCACCGGAACCGCCCGCTCCCTCCGCGGGTTGCCGGCTCTGCCCCGACGTCTTTGCCGTAGGACTTCTATTTAGCTTCATCTCAAAGTATCTTTTCGTTCTGCAGTTCAGATCTAGCTCAAAGCGGCTCGTACAGAACGAAAGCGAATAAAACTTTAGCTCCGCTCTAAAACTGAGGGGAAGAAGAACGTGCTAAAAGCAGCAGAAACCTCTGCGTTGCATCGATATTGTTAAGGGGAGTGACTATCATTTTGGAATTGTATTTTTGTCGATACGTACTTATCCCTGTTTGAAGTATCCTTTCGCTGTTCTAGAAGTGATATGCCTTCCCACGAAGGAATCTCTCCGACACTTAAGAGATTAATTATAATCAAGGGAAAGCTCTTTAATGACGCTTGTTCGATTGGGCTAACACCCAACCAAGAGCCGGCCTCCAACACTAATTTTGTACATTTTAGGCTTGTGCATTCCATAGACACGGTCACCCTGAAATCTCTTTTTGGGTCCCAGGTTACACTTCGAGCAATTCAAGCAGAGACAGGAGATTGCAAGTCTAGCAATTTAGGCAGATAGGAGGTTTACACAGCAAAAAACTCCATATTGTCAGTATTACTTTTAGGTATGCCAGTGTTGTTGTTCTTTCGAATAATTGTTACCCCGGGTCATCTTGCCCAGTTGGCAGAAGAAGAGCACAAGGTAGTTAATGACAGTGGTACTTAATGATGGTTGTGACCTTGCTCTGCCTGCTTGAGCTGCCAGCTAAGGGTTTGTCTTTGGATATGGAAATCTGGGTCTAACTGCTGGTCATAAATCAGTGCTGTCGGGCTGGAGAGATGGCTCAGAGGTTATGAACACTTGACTGTTCTTCTAAAGGAGCTGAGTTCAAATCCCAGCAACCACATGGTGTCTCATAGCCATCCATAATAAGATCTGTTACTCTCTTCTGGCATGCAGGCACATAGGCAGGCAGCATACTCTTTAAATAAGTCTAAAAATCAGTGCTGTCTCCTTTGTCATGGTAATGTAATCTAATTGGCTGGTCAATCCTGGTGAACAGTTACATCGTAGCATCCTAAAATTCACTTAGTCTGGTTAGCATACTTATCTTCGGGGTATTTTGGAGGCAATGCTCTCTTTTAACTAAATTTCGCTGTGTCCATGTCTCCTGAGCATATCTATTAGTAAATCCAATATAACATCAATTTTATTACTTTAAGTTTCATCTATGTCTTCACAAGACAACAGTTACCTTTCAATGGGTGCTTCTTGCTTAAAAGTTAAAATCAACCCCAAATAATGTAATTTGTCTCATGTTGATAGAAATGTGAGGTGTTTAATAGATCATCTATAAACAGATTGGCTAATGGAAAGTATCCAAGTTTGGATTGTAAAATTCTCAAACATTGAACTAGAAAAGTTCTGTCATGGGCTGGAGAGATGGCTCAGAGGTTAAGAACACTGGCTGCTCTTCCAGAGGTCCTGAGTTCAATTCCCAGCAACCACATGGTGACTCACAATCATCTATAAATGAAATCTGGTGTTCTCTTCTGGTGTGCAGGTGTAAATGCAGACATAATACTGTATATATAATAAATCTTTTTTAAGAAAAGTTCTGTTGCAGTTATATGGTGATTATGGGGACATACTCTGATAAGCAGCATGTGATACTTCTTTGTAAATAAATTTGCTCAAGCAAATGATTTTCATGATCCTTATTTTTCTTAAAAATTATAGTGATGTTTTCGATATCCATTTAAAAGTACATAAGCATTAACTTAAAATATAAAATACTGGGTGTAGTAGCACATACCTTTAATCCCAGCACTTGGTAGGCAGAGGCAGGAGGATTTCTCTAAGTTTGAAGCCAGCCTGGTCTACAAAGTGACAGGACAGCCAAGGCTACACAGAGAAATCTTGTCTCGAAAAAACAAAAACAGTAACAACAAGCCAAAAAAATACTGGAAGCATTGGTTGTCCTTGGTAAGGTTTATTTTTAATAGGTAGGAAGTAAAAGTGTATCTATTAGAGTAATAGGAAGACATCAACTTTCAAGTTTTTTAGAAATGAAAATATATTTCAATGGGCTCCTTTTCCTGTGCATAAACTTTTAACCAAGAAGCTTATCCCAATCTAAGAAATTTTCCCTCTTTCACTTTTTTAAGTGCGTATATGTTGTGTTTATGCATGGGTGGGCTTATGGAGGGTGGAGGACAGCTTGCCAAAGTCTGTTCTCTCTCCACCAGTGAGCCTCAGGGATTGAGCTGAGGTGCTCAGATTAGTACCAGTCCCCTCTATCGGGTGAGCCTCCTCCATTTTCTGTTTCTATTTCCATTTTCTATTTCTCAGTCATCAACTATTTTAAATGTAAAGTGAAAAGAATTAATTATATATGGTTTGGGAGGTTAGCAAATTTATTGTTTTTGTGAGTTTTGCTTTTGTTGCTGTATTTTAAAAAGGTATCCAGAATCTGTATAATGGAAGTAGTCATTTAACAAGTTGTACTCCCAGAACCTACCACCACAGGAGCCTAACTTAACTGTGTACCCAGGCTGTCCTGGAACTTACTATGCACCTCAGCCTGGCCTCTAACTCAGAAAAGTCCTGTCTCTGACTCTGGAATAGTAGGAACACAGGCTGTGACACCCACTTGGGCTTTGGCATATCTTTAATGATGTTTCTTTAACAACCATTCACCTTGACCACAACTTAATTCATTCCTTTTGTAGCCAACAATAGTTTTTATAATCCTACTTGGCTGGACAGATAGCTCAGTGGTTAAGAGCACTGCTATTCAGAGGATCAAGGTTCAGTTCCCAGCACCCACATGGCAGCTTGCAACCAGACCTGGGGAATCCACTGCGCTCTTCTGACTTCCATGGGTGTCAGGCATACACAAGGCGCACAGACAGACATGCAGGCGTAACACACACACATAAAGGATAAAATTAATGTTTTTAAATTTTTACTTTAAAAAATGTTGAGCTTTTTGATCCTGATCTTTGTTCACAGCAGCTAGCAATGACAATACCAGAGCTTGGGTGCTCTGCAATCTTGAAATCCCTCCATAATTCACTAATGTGACACCTTTAAATTCAGTTTCCCACAAAGTTTCAGGACATATACAAAATATAGACAATTATAATGTGAATGGGACATTGTGTTTATAGTATATAATGTCTTTGTCCATTTCCCAATAGAATGTTTGTTCCTATCTGGATCCCTGTATAATCTTTGTTGTGTGTTTTTAAATGTGTTGTAGTCTGAGCTACCACCAAAATTGTTGATTGAGTTCTGCTTACAACATCCCAGGGCTTTTATAGCCCACATCTCCAAACTCTTCCACATCCTTCTTATAAACCAGTTCCAGAACCCAGGAGACACAGGTCAAGTTTGGTCATGACAGTAACCCTGTTCCTGGTACCAGTTTCTCTATTACTTACTTTTCTCATCACTATGACCAGCTACTTGACAGAAAGGTTTTTAAAAAAGGATTGATTTTGGCTTGTGGTTTCAGGTGATTCAGCCCTCGCTCACTTGACCCCATATTCTTGGGCAAAGCACTGTGGTAACAAGAGGGTGTTGACCTCTTGGCTGGCCAGGAAGCAGCCAAGAATAATGTACTCTGTACAGACATACCCTCAGAGACCAACATCTACATCCTTCATTTCTCTCTCCCGACCTAAAGCGTGCTACCATTTAGTCACCAAGTCAGTTCAGTCCATTACACTTACTGATTCTGTTTGTTTGGTGTTGTAAATAATACAGCCGTGAGCGGAGCTGTCCAAGTACTCATCTAAGTCTTGGCTTGTTTGGGGTATAATAACTAAAAATGGAATTGCTGAATCATGAGGCAAATCATTCACTTTTTTCAGTATTGGTTTTGGTTAGCATAGTTTTTGATAATGTGCTGTTTTTCCTCTCAGAAAAGCTAAATTCTTAATTTTCTATGGAAATGTGATTCTGACTTTTTAAAAAGCTAAATGTTAGCCAGGCTGTGATGGCACTCGGCTTTAAACTCACCTCTCAGGAGGCAGAGGCAGATAGATCTCTGAGTTCAAGACCAGCCTAGTCTACAGAGAAATTCCAGGACAGCCAGAACCTACATAGAGAGACCCTGCCTTAAAAAAGAAAAAAAAGTTAAATGTCTCAGAAATGCATGAAACTTATGTGATCAATCAGAAGTTTGCAAGATATGTCTAAATTTATAGATATCTTAAATTTTAAATAAGGTTTAATGTTTGAAATATATATATATATTTGCAGTGAGGTAGGTGATTACCTAGATATCTTAGGTTTTTAATTATTAGATATTTTTACACAGAGTAAAACTAGAAATTTTGGGGGAGTGAGGGTGGGATCGGCAGGGGAGGAGGGAGGGGCTTATGGGGGGATACAAAATGAATAAAGTGTAATTAATAAAAATAATAATAATAATAAAAGATTTTAAAAAAAAACTAGAAATTTTGTTTCTTGACTTTTTTTTTTTTTTCTTGAGGTAACATTTTCAACTCCAAATTCTTTTCCTCTAGGCTGGAGGCAAAGCTGGAAAGGATAGTGGGAAGGCCAAGGCTAAGGCGGTGTCCCGCTCCCAGAGAGCCGGGCTGCAGGTAATGTGTGAACCCACTCTGCCGCAGTTTACTATTTCCTCTATCTTTGCGATTCATGACCCAGACATGTTTCATTAATTACAGAAATGTCCTTTTGTTATGATAGACCTTGAGTGTGTGATTAACTGGTTAAGACTTACATCATTAGTAAGATATTAATGTGTGAGAGAACAGGATGCCTTAATGAACTTGGTGATTTTTTCCTATTAGTTCTTGGGCCTGAAGTGCTGAATTGCTGTTAAGAACTCGTACTACTCTTGTAGCCAGAAGCAGGCAGGGCTCTGTGAGCTTGAGCTGGGGGCCACACGGGGAAACACTGTCTTGAAAACCAAAAAAAAAAAAGAAAAAAAAGAGTGTATACTGCTCTTGTAGAACACGTAGGTTTGGTTCCCAGCGCCCATATGGGAAGAGTCACAGCCACCTGTAACACCTGCTCCAGGGAGAGTTGACCCATCTCCTACCTCCACACAGACACGCATGTACTTTAACATAAACCCTTGAAGTACCTGCTCTTTCAAGGTTATAACCATGATCTTCATTGTTACAAATGTAAAGTGAGTATACTCTGGTTTTCCTTTTGAGAATGTTTAAAGTGGTTCATTGACTTTCAGGATAGACTAGACTTGGAGGCCAATATTGGATGATTCTGCTATTCTGATTATTTCCCAACGGCCTCCACTGTAAACTAACAAGTGCGCTCTAAATTTCTAAGTATTTTCAACTTCTTGTATGTGAGTTATTACAACTTTAACCTGTAGACTCAATTTTTCAAGAGGGGTTAAAATTATTCCCTACATAAGGAATACTTTAAAGAGGGGCTGGAGAGTTGGCTCAGGTGGTTCAGAGCACTTGCTGTTCTACTAGAGGACCTGGGTTTGAGTCCCAGAACCCACATGGCAGCTCACAATCACTCAATCATCTGTAGCTCCATTTCCATGGGATCCAACACTGTCTTCCGACTTTTTTTTTTTTTTTTTTTTTTTGGCTTTGTTTGTTTGAGCCAGGGTTTCTCTGTGTAGTCCTGGCAGTTCTGAAACTCACTCTATAAACCAGACTGGCTTCAAACTCAGAGATCTGCCTGTCTCTGCCTCCCATGTCCTGGTATCAAAGATATGTTTCATTACTTCCTGGCTAAAAATAAATACATCATAAAAAATAAATAATGGACCTTGCCTTACACATTCTAGGAAGGTACTGAGCTACATCCCCAGGCCAAGAAATATTTTATTTTTTGAAGATTTACTTATTTTTATTTATGTGTGTGGGTGTTTTGCCTACATGCATGTCTGTGTAGCATGTATGTACAGTGCCCAAGGAGGCCAGAAGGAGGGAGTCAGATAGTCTGGAACTGGAGTTACATGTTATATGGAGTTATATGCCATGTAGCTGTCGGGAAGTGAACCCAAGTCCTCTGCAAGAGCAGGAAATGCTCTTAACCAGCTGACCCATCCTCCCCATCCTCCAGATGCATGTAACACTTTTTTCTTTATTTTTGTTTGTTTGCTTTTTTGTTTTTGTTTTTGATGTTTTGAGATAGGGTCTCTCTGGGTAGCCTTGGCTCTCCTGAACTTGTTTTGTAGGCTCACAGTGATCCACCTGCCTGTGCCTCTCTGAGTTCTGGGATTAAAGGCATGTGCCACCACACCCAGCTACCCATGAAACACTTTTTAAAAGGGAAATTAGGATTGCTCAATTTGAAGAGCACTTGGCATCAAGTCTGACGACCTGACCTGAGTTCAAGTCTCAGGACCCACATAATGGAAGGAGGTAACCAGTTCCAGCAGGTTATGTCTGACCTTCATTTGTGTGTTATAGCAAGCATTTACGCACACATAAATAAATAAATAATTTTTAAGAGAATTATCTGTACTGTGTGATGTCTTGTGTGTGTGTTGTTGTTGTTTTTTTCACAGAGCTTCCGTTTGTAGTCCATGTTACCCTTCTTCCTCAGGTGTGCACCACCACAACAGCAAAATCAGGCTATTTATTTATTTATTTATTTATTTATTTATTTATTTATTTGGTGTACAGTATTTCAGCTGCATGTGTGCCTGCAGGCCAGAAGAGGGCACCAGCTCTCATTATAGATGGTTATGAGCCACCATGCGATTGCTGGGAATTGAACTCAGGACCTTTGGAAGAACAGCCAGTGTTCCTAAACTCTGAACCATCTTTCCAGCCCAAAATCAGGTTTCTTACAACAAACGTTCAAGCAAGTAGATGGCATCATCTATGTGAAAAGGGATAGGAACTTGAGTTCTTTTTTTTTTTTCTCCATTTTTTATTTAATTTTATGTGTATGAGTGTTTTGCCTGCATATATTTACACTGTGCGCAGAGGCCCAAAGAAGGCATTGGGACCTCTGGAGTGAGCTGCCATGTGTGTGCTGGAAACCAAACCCAGAGCTTCTGTAAAAGGCAGTGTGCTCTTAATCACTGAGTCATCTTCTAGAGTTCGGGAACTTAGCTCTACAGCATACATTATGTATTTTAGGGCACTACTTAATTTCTCAGAATTTATTTCAAGTGTATACAAACTGTGACAGTAGTCAAGTGGAGATTGTTACATTGGTTTAAGAAACAAAAGGCTGGAGAGATGGTTCAGTGGTTAAGAGCACTGGCTGCTCTTTCCAGATGGCCCTGGGTTCAATTCCCAGCACCCAACATAGCAGCTCACAACTATCTGTAACTTTAGTTCCAGGGGATCTGACACTCTCATGCAGATATACATGTTGGCAAAACACCAATGCACATAAAATAAATTAATTTTTTAAAAGAGAAAAGAGCTGGTAAGAGGGACTAACATATAAAGGCATTTACTTCCAGATACCTTAGTACCCAGGACACAAATGGTGGATACATATTTTAATGTAGTTTAAAAGGATTAAAAGCATGCATGTAACTGGACAGTGATGGCACATACCTTTAATCCTAGTATTTAGGAGGCAGGAAGCAGAGGCAGGCAGATCTCTGAGCTCAAAGCCAGCCTAGTCTACAGAACAGGTCCCAGGACAAGGGTTAAACAAAGAAACCTTCTCTCAAGAAAAAACAAAAGACAAAAATCACTTAATTCATGTAGAAGCTGGAGAAACAACTCAGCAGTTAAGAGCACTAACATGGACTCAATTCTCAGCACCCAAATGGCAGCTACAGTTGTTTGTAAATCTGGTTCCAGAGACTCAGGAGCACAAGTGGTATGCAGACATACATGTAGGCAAAGTACCCATACACAAAAAGAGTGCTGCCTGTGACACCAGCTGCTTAGGAGGCTGAGGCAGTAGGATCACAAATTCAAGGCCAACCTGGGCTACATACATAGTGTTTTCAAGACCAACCTTGGCAGCTTAGCAGTACTCTGCCACAAAAAGTAGAATGCAAGTCTATGTGTAGAACAAGCTTAGAATCTTAGCACTCAGGAGGCAGAGATAGGAAGATTTCTGCAGGTTGGAGGCCAGCCCATACGCCATAGCAAGAGCAGAGAAAAACTACAAAGAAAGGGACATCACGCAGGAGACCCTAGATTCAGTTTCTAGCACTACAAAAACAAGTAGCGATAGCAAATGGAAGGAGGCATAGCGTTGAAAGGAAGCCCCTGCCTTGTCCCCCCAAAAGGTTTCTCTAAGATGTAGAGCTTAAAAGAGACATTGGAATTGCAGTGTGAGTGTGCTATAAGATGAAGCCATGCTCATTACTGTGAAGTTCACTGAAATGCATGTTAAGATATTTACAAGTGGAAAGAAGTCCTCCTTTCTAAAGATGGTAGTACATAGAATTAACCAGTTTGAGATCATTTATGTAAAACTAATAATTCACATTACAGATAAGTTTCCTACTCTAAGAGTTACTAAGAAACACAGGAGCATTGATGGTCCCTTTCAAAATACTGTTTTGTTTTGGTTGGGGGCCAGTTTGTAGACAGGGTCGTGGAACCCAGGTTATCCTCAAGCTTGTGATCCTAATGCCTTCTCTCCTCAGTGCTAGATTCCAGTTGTATTCTAATAGTTTGCTAAATTGTTCTAATAGTCTGCTCTAAGAGGGATACTTGGTCTTGTCCATATGACCAAGGCAAAGAAGACCTGGGCACATGCCTGTGCTCCCAGCTACTCAGGAGTCAGGGACAACAGAATCAAGGTCCAGGGCAGCCTGAGAATGTAGCGAGACCCTGTCTTTGCTTTTCAAGACAGGGTTTCTCTCTGTAGCCCTGGCTGTCCTGGATCTTGCATTGTAGACAAGACTGGCCTCGACTGCCTCTGCCTCCTGAGTACTGAGATTAAAGGCATGTGCCACCACCAAGTTGCTAGCAAGACCCTGTATTAGGGCTGGAGAGATGGCTCAGAGGTTGAGAACACTGGCTGTTCTTCCAAAGGTCCTGAGTTCAATTCCCAGCAACCACATGGTGGCTCATAACCATCTATAGTGAGAGCTGGTGCCCTCTTCTGCTATGTATGGCAGAACACTGTATAAATAATAAATAAATCTTTAAAAAAAATGTAAAAAGAAAAAAAAAAAAGACCCTGTATTAAAGATCTCATTGTAGGGCTGGAAAGAAGCTCAGCTGTTAACAGAACTGGCTGTTCTTCCAGAAGGTCCTTGTTGGATTCCCAGCAGATTCTCCTAGGGCAGATCACAACTGTACTCCAGTCTTAGGGGATTCAGTGGCTTCTACAGGACCTAGGCTCACATGTTTACTTATACACATAAATAAACAAATAACAACATTCTTTATAGTCTCTAAAGCTTAGTAATAAATGGTTTGTGTTGCTGATAATTTAAAAAGTAGGAGTTGATAATGTTTATTATTAACCATGTAATTACTACAGCAGTGTTATCCAGCACGATATTAAAATCGATAAAAGATAGACACCTGATAGACTTTATAGAACAGCCTTATTTTACCCGGGGCTGGGCAGATAGTACCTCCTAAGCTACCTTTATCTCCCAAGCCCCCATCCCACACCATCTGCTCTAACAATTTCTATCTAGGTAATTTCCATTCGTAATTCCATAAATAGTTGCTTATTCTCTCATCTGAGCTGTTTTCCTCCATCCACGCTGATCCCTCCAAGTGCTCCTCTCCATGCTAACCCATCGTGGCCTCTCTCCTCCTTCCTTTACTGGTCACTGTCTCCTTCTACCCAAGATCCTTCTCTCCCCAAAACCCAAGAGCCTTCGCCATGACTCTCACTTCTGCCCTGCCCAGGTGTAGGCCTTTTAATCAGCCAATCAGGTATAATTGGGGAACATTACTTCTCATCACATGGATGCAGAAGCTAGTAAAACATTAATAACAACGCCCATGGCAGCAGGGTGGTATCCAGATCTCAAGGAGTTGAGATCAGCATTTGAAAACATAGTTGGACCTTCCTCCAGCAGACTTGGGGTACTGTTATGTTCCAGACACCATGCCTTACCAATAATACAAAACCAGGGATGAGGCATTGATAGTGCTCTTAAGAAAATTGTAGTGAGTTCTGGAGATGCTCTTTCTTCTTGAGAATGAGATCTACAAGTGGCTGCTAGATTTGATAACTGAAATATCATGGACTTCAAAAATAGTATTTATCAGAGGCCAAGTTTGGGTCGGGAGAAGTGAGAACAGAAACCTGAGTTGCAGGTAGCCAGGCATTGTAGTGCATACCCATAAAACCAGTGCCACAGATACTATGGCAAGAGGATTGAGAATTTGAAGCCAGACTTGAGGTGCAACACTGTCTTAGACAAGTAAACAAGTATAAGCTGGGCTATGGTGGCGCATGCCTTTAATCCCAGCACTCAGAAGGCAAAGGCAGGCAGATCTCTGAGTTCGAGGCCAGCCTGGTCTACAGAGAGAGTTCCAGAACAGCAATAGCTACACAGAGAAAGCCTGTCTTGAAAAACAACACAAACAGAAAATACACATAAAAGTAAGGGTTTCAGGACTTGTTTTTGAATTTTGCCTTTGAAAAACAGGTACCTAGATAGCTGCCAGGAAGGAAGTAATTGGAGTTGTTGAAATAATGAAGCAGTAAAGTGGCAGGAGACTGGCACTTTGGAATCTAGCTATGTAGTAGAGCTACTTAGCGTGTGCAAGGCCCTAGGTTGTATTACCAACACCCCAAAACCAGAACAAACACATGAACAAGCAAAGCAGATAGTACAGGTAAGGAGGTAGGATGGTAGGATTAGGATCCTTTGGAAATGAAAAATTGCTTTCTCAGAAGGCAAGTATCACAATGAAAGAGAGGGACTGATTTTCCTTAAATAGCACATGACCTTTTGAAATTGAGGAAAGAACAGGGTTAGGGTCAGAGGAGAATGGTGGAGGTTCAAAGTCATGTGGCTTTTCTGTGAAGGAATTGAGTAGATATAGTTGTGTTATTGGGCTGTGTTGAACTTGTAATTGATAGCAACATGTTGTCAAAACGTCAAGGTTGGGGGCGATTTCAGCACATGTAGGCCCTTGGACTGTTCATTACCAAGTAAACTTGGCCTGTAATATCACTAAGCCTCGAGTTAGGCTCAACCATATGTTGTCAAAACTCTGCAGTGCTCCCCAACAAGACGTGTCTTTTTCAGTTTCCTGTGGGCCGCATCCACAGACACCTGAAGACCCGCACCACAAGCCACGGACGGGTGGGCGCCACTGCTGCTGTGTACAGCGCTGCGATTCTGGAGTACCTCACAGCTGAGGTTTGTGGAGATGTCCTGTGTGGGGTCCAAACGGTTGCTCAAAACTAAACGGCTGAGGCTGCCATGGAGAATGCTTAGAAAGAGGTTAATGCACCTTTGTTTTTGAGACAAGGTCTCTGTAGCCCTGGTTGTCCTAGAACTCATTCTGTAGACCAGGCTGCCCTAAACTTAGAAATCTACCTGCCTCTGCCTCCTGAGGCTGGGATTAAAGGTGTTCCCTACCACTGCCTGGCCAGTGACTCTCATATTGTCCAATCTAGTCCCAGACTCCAACATACCAGAGGATGACCTTGAACTTCTGATCCTTGTCTCTACTTGTTGGAGTTGCAGATATATACCTCCACCCTAGCTGCTGCTTTTTTTCTTTCGGTTCCACTTTTTCGAGACAGAAGCTCATGATGGTCTGGTACTTGCTCTGTGTTCTGCTTAGTTTGGAGAGGTTTTTGTTTGTTGGTTTGGTTTGGCTGATTGGGAATCTGTAGACCAGGCCGTCTCATCAAGTTATCAATTTGGGCCAATTTTAAAGAGTCTTGGTGTACTTAGTTTTTGTTTGTTTGTTTTTTAATTCACATTCAAATGAGGGCCAGCAAACCATATTGTTAAGTGACATGATAAATAAATACTGCTCTAATTAACTGAAGTATGAGGTATAGATGTTAGTCAGTTGGCAGTGTTTGTTCCCAACAGCACATAAACTGCGGATATTGTAATCCCAGTAAGAGGTAGAGGCAGGTCAGAAACTCAAGTCCTCTTGGCTACATAGTGAATTCAAAGCCATCCTGGGGACAATATTAATGAAGGTACAGCATGCCTTCTTAGTTTATGCCCTCTTAGATTCATAATGATATTGGTAGGCATGGTGGCACATCTCAGGAGGCTGAGATAGGAAGATAGTGAGTTTGAGGCCATCCTGGGCTATCTAGAGAGACCCTGTTCCAAAAACAAAAAAAAAAAAAAAACAAGCTGTAAAAATCAAGTACCTTCTGATGTAATAGGTAGAAGAGTTAGCAGTTCTCTTCTTGTGGTTACAGATTAGCTTCACATTTCAGGTAGGTGAGTTACTTTGGCAAGACTTCTGTTGTTGTTTTCCAAGACAGGGTCTGTCTGTATAGCCCTGGCTGTCTTAGAATACACTCTGTATACCAAACTGGCCTCCAACCCAGGGATCCACCTGCCTCTACCTCCTGAGTGCTAGGATTAAAAGTGTGTGCCACCAATGCCCAGCTGGCAAGACTTCTTAATATGAGGGTACTGGACCACTGCTTTCCCATCTTTAGCCCACCTGTGGAGAGTGACTAGGACTGCATGAAACATTCCAAACCAGGAAAGTAATTGAATAGCAAGCAAGTTAGGCAGTAGAGACAGCCAGGTAGGGCAAAAGATTCTGAATTGGGAAGATGTGATAGGAAACAGCTGAGCAGCGTGGGTGGAATATCTCTCAGCTATCGTTGCCTTCATTTCACTGTGAGGCTCAAGGTTTAACTTTGAATTATAGTTAGTTTGGCTTTGTTGTTATGAGCCAAAGGTTTCATGGGGACATTTTGATATTGTTGTGACACTTTCACAGTCTCCATAAAGGTACACATTTCTGTGTGCTATGGCACATAGAATTATAGCTCATTCATTCCATTTGGTGTCTTTCTACAGTCCTAGTTTGTTTGTAGTACTTGGGATTGAACCCAAGATCTGATGAGGTAGGGAACCACTCTACAATGATCTACATCTCTAGTCTTTTGGGAGAGGGGGTGCTGTCTTAATATTTTATGTATTTGGTGTTTTACCTTCTTGTATGTCTGTGTACCACTTGCATTCAGTATTCACAGAAACCAAAAGAGGGTGTCAGATACTCTGGGTCTGGAGTTAAGGATGGTTATGCTCCACCACGTGAGTTCTGGGAATTGAACCAGGGCCCTGTGGGAGAGCAGCCAGTGCTCGTAACCGCTGAGACACCTTTCCAGTTCCATCCTTTGTTTCTTTGAGGCAGTCTTATAGGCTGCCCCAGCTAGCATTAGACTTGTCCTATCCTAAACCCCTAAGTGACTGAGATAACATGCTGTTTCACTCATAGTTTTTAGGGTAGCATTAGACTTTCAACCAATACAGCTCAGTGAGAAAATAGGTACATAAATAGATGTGTGGAGCTCTCTATTTTTAGTTTCTTATGCTTTTAAGTTATCACTCCCCTTATTCTTAGACGCAGCCTTATTAGCAAGACAATGCCGTCGGCACTTTGAACTATCTTAAGTATCATGTCTTATATGTATCAAAACTCAAAATGAACCATGAATTCTGGATTGCAAAGGGGGTTAGTTTTTGCACCTATTTTTATGTCTTTGTCCACCAACTCAATAAAAACACAAGTGCCACATAAATAGATGTTTTGAAGAAAAAAAAAAAGTCAGCATGTTCTAGGTATTTAAATTTGGAGTTTTGACCTGGTGGTGGTGGGTCACACCTTTAATCTCAGTACTTGGAGACAAAGGCAGGTGGATCTCTGACTTTTAGACCAGTCTAGTCTATAGAGTGAGATGTAGAACAGCTAGGGGGCTACAAGAAACCCTGTCTTGAAAAACAAAAACAAAAGAAAACAAAAAAAAATTGGTGTTATTTAGTAGAGATAAAATTGTGAGCCCTAATCTAAGCGTTTATGTTAGAGGTAATCATTTTCCAGTGACTAAGAACCTTTCGGAGCGTTTTCAAAGCACTCATGCAGGCATGCTCTGGTATGCATCAGCTGTGGCCTACCCACCCTGGACCAACCAGAGGCCCAAGGTAAGGCCCTGGGAGGTTTTGAGGCTTGCCCAACATTTGACTCAGATATGTGACATTGCCTGTGCTCTGCTTTTAAATGAGGGTGCTCCGTGGAGTTATTTTTGTTATTTCTATCAAAGGTGTAAGAGTGCCAGAGCCAAGTGTGTTGGCACGTGCTTTAATCCCAGCACTCGGGAGGCAGAGGCAGACGGATCTCTGTGAGTTCGAGGCCAGCCTGCTGTACTGAGCAAGTCCAGGACAGCCAGGGCTTTATTACACAGAGAAACCTGGTCAGGAAAAATAAAACAAAAGTAACAGTTCCAGTAGAGCTGATGCAGGTAATGACACATAACAAATGCAGTGTTAGCTGGGCAAGCTGGTACACTGTAATCTCAAAATTAGCAAGACTTTGTCAAAAGAAATGATAGTCTCAGCTCCACAAGAGTAATCCTTTTCAAAACTAAGCAAAAGGAAAATTTCGACTACAGAATAAGATGCTTCCAGCTTATTATAGGTCTATAGCGCTCACATTTGAAAAGATTTCTGTGCAGGTAGGTGTGGCGGCACACAACTGTGATCCCCACACTTGGGACCAAAGGATCAGAAGTTCAAGGCCAGCCTGGGGTGCATGACCCCTTCTTTCTCCAAAAGTTCTTTTGTTTTTGTCAGTTCTCCATTCAGCAGAAGTCTGGGGCACAGCTGTTGGCTTCTAGAGAAAGAACAGAGCGACCCAGGGAGCCGGGTCTGTTTGTTTCAGGACCATCTAGAGTGCTTTAGGGTGAGGCCAGTGTGCTAGTAGGCAAGGCTCTCAGTCTCATTGGGGGTGAGGTGGGGGTGGAATGGAGTTTTCCACCTGGGTGTTACAGTTAGCTTTTTAGAATGAAATTGCCAGTATCAGGGGCAGTGGGAATTCGGGAGTTCCAGCAGCCTGTGGACCAGTTTGAGAGCTCCTGATGAAGCTGCTGTGCTAGGTAAGCACAGCAGAGGACTCGCGCAGACACCCAAACCAGCCGGAAGGCAGGTCCACTGGTGCGTTCCCGAGTGGTTATAGAGCTCTTGGTGGTCGGGCAGGCTCCAGCCAGCCTGGCCAGTAGCCGAGCCTCAGGAGTTCAGCAGTCAGCCGTCAGCCATCAGCCATGGTGGAAAGCTGATGATACCATGCAGCACATAGCACCTTTTTTTTTTTTTTTTTTTTCTGTGAAATTGGGTTTCCCTTAAGGGGAGGACTGTGATCTTCTCTGAGGGCTATGTGACCTTTCTTAAGAGATCTGGGATACCCAGGTCAGGTGCAGAGAGAATCCTCCCACTGAGAAAAGGGAGTCCACCATTACAGATCAAGCACAAGCACAGAGCTATTCGGAAATGTCAGACTTCAACCTTACCCACCAGAGTCCCCCAGTTTTATTATGTGTACAGTGTTCTGCCTACATGCAAGAAGAGGACACCAGATCTCATTATTGATGGTTGGGAGCTACCATATGGTTGCTGGGAATTGAACTCAGGACCTCTGGAAAAGGAGCCAGTGCTCTTAACGTGAGCCAACTCGCCAGCCCGTTTTTCTGAAATGTTAAAGAAGTTCCAACCATTAAAGAAAAATGGACTTACTAAATTGTCTCTAAACACAGCAAAAATGGACTACATTAATATATCAAAATATATAGCTGGCTGTGGTGGCACACACTGTAATCCCAGCACTTAAGAGGCAGAGGCAGGTGGATCTCTGTGAGTTTAAGGCCAGGGTCTACAAAGTGAGTTCAGGGCAGCCAGGGCTACAGATAGAAACCCTGTGTTGGGAAACCAAATTTATATACATATACATGCATACATATATATTTTATATGTATACGTGTGTGTGTGTATATATATATACACACACACACACACATCAAAACATATAACTTCTAAATGTTCAATTTAGACTCTTGGCTACTTTGGGTCTTGTGTACCAGGCCTAACAGAACATGCTGTTAATCTCAGCACCAAGGAGGCTGAGGAGGCAGAAAGGTCACTCACTGAGTTTAAGGCAGGTTGTGCTGCACAACGTGGCCCTGACTTCAAACAAACAAACAAAACCTTTTTTTTAAAGCAGGTTTTTGCATGTTCCTTTGTGTTTGTGCAGGGAGTGACTATGAGAGGAGTCAATAAGAGGTATTGAACGTCACAAAAGCATACTGTGTGTTATGCACAGGTACTAGAGAAGTTGTTCTGCATTTAGAAACCCACTGTTTCCCTAATTGTGTCCTTTTATGGGCCCGTTGTAGGTGCTGGAGTTGGCAGGGAACGCTTCTAAAGATCTCAAAGTGAAGCGCATCACTCCACGCCACCTGCAGCTTGCCATCCGAGGTGATGAAGAGTTGGACTCGCTCATCAAGGCTACCATCGCTGGGGGCGGTATGTCTCGTTAGGCTTAGAGTATTTTTAACTAATATATCGTTCAGGTCAGTGGCGCTCTGTGTTTAAATGGTTAACTAGAAGCCGTGTGGATTTTAACTCCGCAAGTGTTACATGTACTGCAGCAGTTGGTAGTGGGTGAACCTGGGTCCTCACAAATACCATAGGTAAACACTGCATAATGGAGCCACAACTCTGGGCCCACAAGCCCTCCTTTTTTTTTTTTTTTTAAAGAGTTATTTATTTTATGTAGATGATACTCTATCTGCATGTACATCTGCATGCCAGAAGAGGGCACCAGATCTTATTATAGATGGCTGGGAGCCACCATGTGGTTGCTGAGCTTGAACTCTGGACCTCTGGAAGAACAGCCAGTGCTCTTAATCACTGAGCCATCTCTGGAGCCCCAACCCCCTTTTCATAGTGATCCGAGTAAATATTTGTTCTCTTGTCATGTGCAGTGCTGTTTTTATTTTAGCTTGTTCTTTATCTAAACGGGTGCAATGCTTCCAGTCTAAGGTTTAAAATATTTCCCCACACATTTTGAACTATGCTAGAGAGGTAACATGATCCTGAGGAACTACTTAATGTGATAGACTTGGCAGGATTGAAATGGTTCTGTATTGGGGATCTGTAAAGGTGTGAGCTAAGCTGGTGGTTCCCCATCTGTTTTGATCATTCCTTACAGAACCTTGTGATGACTGTAGCTAGCTACATTTTCTATCCTATAGAATGGTTCCTAGGCTCTTGTGGGTTTAATAGGATCCAAGTGAGAAAAAGGACTTAAATAAATTTGATCCTTTGTATAATTGCTTTTTTACTTTAGCATTAAAGCATTAGGATATAAAGAATTATTAAAAATAACCATTCTTAAAATTTTCGTTCTAGGTGTGATCCCGCACATTCACAAATCTCTGATTGGAAAGAAGGGACAGCAGAAAACTGCCTAGGAAGTGAGTTAACACACCTGCTCTCCCTCCCTGTCTGTAACTGGGACAGAGGACCCCAGTGGGGTGTGTGGAATTCTTAAGAACGGTTCGATGGAAAAGCATAGACAATTGCTGTAGACAGGATAAAAGAAACATTTGTATGTTTTTAGACTGGAGAAGTTTGATACGTCCCTTTCCCTGTGGTCAGAGTCATGTGTTGATTGACCAGGTTTCTCCCTTGTGTTTTATACAAAAATAGAATTGATAAAACATTTTTTACAAAATTAATTTGTCTCAGTATTTCTTCATGATGTGTTGGAAATGTGCTGCTTACAGCTGGGCATGGCCAGTGTCTGCTAAATGCTAAACCCCAGCATTAAGAGGTGTGGGCAGGACCTTCAGAATTCACTTGAACCTTGCCTACATTCCAGGTTCTAGGACAGCCTACACCACAAGAGACTCTGTCTCAAAAGATAAAGATCTTGTTCAGACATTGAGATTTTAAGTTGCACATTATTATTCAGAATAATCTTAAAGCACAGAGTGGAATGTAGTGTGCCTTAATTGATACTATGTTAGTTTGAATTCAACCTACTGTGTTAGCTTGGATCAGGTTTTAGAAACATACTGTTACTGAGAAAGAAAAATTTGTGAGTTAATGCCGGCAATGAGGAAATACATACTGCCAGGGTGTTAGACAGTGGGGAAGTGTGCATTCAGGATCAAAACTGGGCAGTGAAATGAGTTGGCCCTTTACCACGTGCTGTACCTGTGCTAACTGCTCTGCTCCTCAAGGAGTCTTGTTACCCTATTTTCTAGGCACGCTACCTAGTGTCCACAGGACTTGATGATCTGCTGAGAAGACAGCTTAGCTGGTGGATAGGTCAGTGGAGTTAGGACACAAACCTAGGTCTTTCTGGCTCCAGAGTTCACACCCTGACCTAGAAGTGATGCTACTGAACTCAACTTTTCTGATTTGGTATTGGAATTCTATTTTTGTGTTCTCTCATTGATCCCAAGAACCTGCAGTGGTTTACAGTCTTTAAAAATGGTGTCTAAGTAACTACGAGATACAGATTAACTCACTAGCTAACAGGACAGCCAAAACTTTGTTTTTCTTCAGTATAAGTCTTTGTGAGAAATGAATATTTTATGATATAATAGTATCAAACAATTCATTTTGAAGAAATATGTTGTTATGAAAATTCTGACAAATACACAGAAATACAGAGAATAGCACTAGTGTGACAAAGCCATGCATCCTGCTCCTCCAGATTCGGTTGTTGTGGTCAGTTTTAACCATATCCCCCCTGCCACTACTAATGGATTGCTTTAACCCATTACTTTCACATCTGTGTATTATAGAGACTTCTTAGAGTCCACTAAAGACAGGGCACCTCTAAGACAGCTAACATTTTTATTACCAAGTACCAGTCAGTGTTTGTTTGTTTGTTTTACAGTTTATTTTTTACAGTTTTATTTTTTATAGTTTATTTGAATTAAGATCTAGACAAGTTTGGGCTGGAAAGCTGACTCAGAGGTTAAGAGCACTGGCTGCTCTTCTGGGGTCCTGAGTTGAATTCCCAGATGTTGGCTCCTAACCATCTGTAATGAGATCTGGTGCCCTCTTCTGGTGGGCAGGTATATATGTAGGCAGAACATAAACAGTAAAAAAAAAAAAAAAAAAAAAAAAAAAAAACCTCGAAAAGTTCTATCTTGGTTGTTTTGTTTTTTCTTTTTATAATTTATTTATTTTTATTTCACGTGCATTGATGTTTTGCCTGCATGTGTCTGTTTGAGGGTGTCGGATCTCCTGGAACTAGAGTTACAGATCGTTGAGCTGCCATATGGGTGCTGGGAGTTGAACTGGGGTCCTCTAGAAGAACAGCCAGTGTTCTTAACCGCTCAGACATCTCTCCAGACCCCCTCTCCCTGGTGCCCCCCCCCCTTTTTTTGTACGATTTGTTATTTATACAGTGTTCTGCCTGCATGTGTGCCGGCACTCCAGAAGAGGGCACCAGATCCCATTATGGATGATTATGAGCCACCATGTGGTTGCTGGGAATTGAACTCAGGACCTTTGGAAGAACAGCCAGTGCTCTTAACCTCTGAGCTATCTTTCGAGGCCCCGGTATTGGTTTTTTGAGTCAGGGCCTCATATCGCCCAGTGTGTCTGAGCTCACTGTTTGGCTGAGGGTGCACTTTAAATGACTGTTCCTCTTGCCTCTACCGCTCGCATGCTGAGATTTTAGCCATATGCCACCACACCCAGCCTGTATTTTGCATTTTCTTAGTACTTTTGTTCACTTATTTAAGCCATAGGTCTGTTCTTGAAGAAACTGAGTCCTGTAGAGTTGTTACTGAATACATTATTATGTGTGCATAGAGGCCAGAGGTCAGTATCAGGTGAGTTCTTCAGTCACACTCTACCTTCCCTTTAAAGCAGGATCCCACTGAACCTGGAAGTTTTCTGTTCAGCTAAACAGGCTAGCCAAGGAACTCTTGCTAGACCCATTTTACATACATATTTTTTAAGATTTATTTATTATGTTTACAGTGTTGTCTGCATTTACAGCTGCATGCCAGAAGAGGGCACCAGATCTCATTATAGATGGTTGTGAGCCACCGTGTGGTTGCTGGGAATTGAACTCAAGACCTCTGGAAGAGCAGGCGGTGCTGTTAACCTGTGAGCCACCTCTCCAGCGCCCATTTTATAGTTTTTGTTCCTATTTTATTTTTTTAAGATTTATTTATTTATATATATTCTGCCTGCACATCAGAAGAGGGCACCAGATCTCATTCTAGATGGTTATGAGCCACCATGTGGTTGCTGGGAATTGAAATCAGGACCTTTGGAAGAACAGCCAGTGCTCTTAGCCTCTGAGCCATCTCTCCAGTCCCTTTTGTACCTATTTTAAACTGTCAGATATAGAAGGTGGTGTTTTTGTTCTGTTAAGTTTGGGGCAGGAGAGATGGTTCTTCAGTTAAGAGTACTGGCTACCCTACCAGAGGACCTGGGTTCAACTCCCAGCACCCATGTGGCTGTTCCCAGTCCCCTGTAACTCCAGTTCCAAGGCATCTAACACCCTCTTCTGGCATCTATGAGTACCAGACACATAAGTGGTACACATATGTACTTGCAGGCAAAACCCATATACACAAAAATGTGTGAGAGAAAAAGAATTTGCCAAGAGTGTTTGCAGACAGATCTCTAGTGAGTTCTATGCCAGCCTGGTCTACATAGCTAGTTTCAAGATAGCCAGGGGCCACACAAAGAGACCCTGTCTCAAAATAATAACAAAAAAAAGAACACTTGGCTGCTTTCTTGAAGGACCCAAGTTCCATTCTTAGCACCCACATTGGGCAGCCTGCAACTGCCTGTAATACTCCAGGGCAGAGGCAGCTGGAGCTCTGTGAGTTTATGGCCAGCCTAGTCTAGAGAGCAAGTTCCAGGATAGCCACACAGAAACCCTGTAACAGCATGGTCTGGTACTTTGTATTTGATGTTATTTTGCTCCCTGAGGTCTGTTTGCTGTCTCTTACAAGCAAACTTGTACCCCAAATGTTGCTGTGTAATGTTACCTCCAAAATTATCCCTGATTGGCTAAGTAAAAGACCTACCCACCTGGGCAGAGCAGAAGTGAGAGGCGGGGCTAAAGTTCATGGGTTTGAGGACAGAAGGATCACAGGAAGGAGAGAGACAGGTAGAGGAGAAAGAAGGTGGCAGAGTTGCCTTGAGATGGGTACAGAACCACGTGGGCCGGGTGAGGACTGGCATGGAGAGAAGTGGCCCAGATGGAAAGCATGTGCAAGTATTTATGGGAATATCGGTTGGGAAGTAGCCCAGATAGGAATGATTAAAGCAAATGGCATGGGATGTGGGGCTGAGAGGTAACAAGTTAGATTAGCTAATATCTGCCCAGGCCCAGGTGAAATAAGCTTATGTAAAATCTATCAGGTTCTTTGTCTTTATTGTTTGATATAGTGTTAAATAAAACCATCATAATAATTATAGGCTTTTAATAATAAACATTATTAGCAATTATTACTTTCTACAACAAGACCCTATCTCAAAAAGAAAAAAGGAAAAAAAAACAACAACAGATACTATGGTACATGCCTGTAATCCTAGCACTTGGGTCAGTCTTTGCCTACATAGTAAATTCAAGGCTTGTGTGGCTTACATGAGACCCCATCTTTCTTTAAAAAAAAAAAGCTTTGGCCATTTGATTTGAATTCTTTTCTAATTTCAAATGTCTACATTTGCATCCAATAGAAAATTCCACTTTACAAACAAATAAGATGAAGGTTCCATAGCTGGATGGTGATGGCACACAACTTTTATCCCAGCACTTGGGAGGCAGAAGCAAGCAGAGCTCTGAGTCCAGCCTGGTCTGCAGAGTGAGTTCCTGTAGTAGTAGATCTTTGCTGCTTTGTGGATCCTTCTTTATCCTCCCTCATTCCAGTTTCACAGGAGAGAAAGAAGGATAGCGAGGGGAAAGAGAGATCCCTGAATGTAATTTTTTTTTCCTTTTTTGGCCACAGCTACTAACAAACTGCAGCCATCCTCCCTAAGTAAACAACAACCACCCACCACACCTCTTGGGGCCCTAGCATTTATGTTCCCTCTGAAAATGTTTCCAGAATTCCAAACACCACACAATCACAGTATCTGTAGCTGGCAAAACCACATTACTGCTAGAGCATGAGACAAATCATAGTCAGCTGCTGTGGACAGTCGGAAGCAGCTCCACATCCCTACACCTGGGATTAAAACAAAAGCACAGTCTTACAGCATTTCTGTGTTTTTTTTAAAGAATCTAGAATTCTCAAAAAATGTCACTAGAAGTTCTAAAACAGGACATAGAGAAACTGTCTCAAAAAACAAAACAACAAATATCTTTTCATAGCTGTTACTTAGATTTCAGTATATTGTTTAATAAAAATTGAAAAATAAAATTTAGTCACTTTTCCAAATTAGAAAGTTGTCAGTTTTAGTCTTTTCTTAAACTTTTCCTGTATAGTTTATAACAAGAAAAGAAAAACTTCAGCTGGCATGAGTTTTCCCTGCATCTTCTGCTTCATTGGATGTTGCATTGTCTGTAGCTTGTTAATTTCATGTGGACGAAGTTGCTCCTAGTTTATATGATGGAATTAAATGTATTCTGTGTGAGAAGGGGTGGGCTGGACTAAGCAGTCTGTATGGTTCCCCTAGCACTGGCAATGTTAGAAAGAGCAGTGCCTGCATCGCAGTGCTGGCCACCCAGGCCACGTGGCATTCTCAGAGC